CTAGCCTTGCTGTTTGTAAATCCCCAGATGGTGATGAGTTTGTAGGAGCCCAGGTGCTGTTGGAAGGAGGGGAATTTTCTTAAATGCTGTTGTTTCTCTTCACTTTTACCAATAACTCCTATTCTCTTCAAGTTTAATTTCCATCTTTGGGAAAAGATACAGCAAATCTGCTTGTATCCATGCTGTTACCTCAGTCAGTGACTAGGATAACAATCAAGACTGTAATTCAGCTTAAAGGATCTGTAGGTCTGTGCACTGATAATTCTGCGCTGCAAAATGTTTATCCTTGGTGGCAGACTTAGCCCACTATTAGTGAGAGCTTCTGGTCTATGTTGTTTCTTTAGTTGCATATACCTGCTGATAGATTCCAGTATACTGTCTTTTAAAGCTCTATTGTCTTCCCTTGGCTCACAAAAAATGATGTAAGATTAGCACTTCCTAACTCTTCAGGAAATGTGATGCCACCTTTCTCTTAATATAAAGGTGCAAATATCTAAAATAATAGAGTGCCATAAAAATGAGTTTCTTCAAGGCTGTCGTCAATTAATAGGTAGGAAATGAGAGCAGGAGCTTGATGTAGCTGCATGCATCTGTTTTAGTTCACCTCCCTCCCATCTCTCTGTCTGCTTTCCCCTTTTTATTAACTGTACAGCTAACAGAGGGGAATTTGGCTTCTCAGCATAAAACTAGCATTTGAAAATAGTGTTCTTCTTCTCCCTTCATGTTGTCAGCTTGAAGATAATTGCTACATCATTATAAAATTGTCTTGTTTCATTTATTTTTGTTAGTGTTAATGCTTTGATCTTTGATCTGATCTGATTGGCTGACATTTTTATAGTACTCATTCTGCCTTTTCTCTCCCCCTTTACTCATTGCACTTATCTTACAGTTAGAAATTTGGATATGGTTTTCATAAGAGCATAGCAGAGATAAAATACAGGTACTGACTTACTGTGAAACAGCTTGTACTGCTAAGACATATTGGCACATGTATCAGTTATCCTCTGATGACAAAGATACTTTCAAGGCTTTATTATCTTCACTTCACTAACTTATGACATGTTGTACCACATTTCTCTGCATTTCACCGAGTATGAGGATAACATTTTGCATCTGATCTTGGGGTTATGAAGTCAATGAGCCTTTAGCTGTGAATGAAGTCAAACCAGATTCAAGTTCTTAATGAATGTCCATTAATGGTATTCTGGTATGTGATAAATTTGATCTGATGAATTATGTGGCAGTATTCTCTTGTTATCTCTCCTATTTGCTTTAGAAATCACTGTAATGTATATTTAAGTAGAGAGTATTTGTAAAGATGTCTGAAGATGAAGCTGTACGGAGAACTGTGACTATTTAATGACATAGCTTTACCACATGAATTTGCCATGTGGTATAAATCTGGCTGGTTCATTTTTTCTGATAGTGTGTTTATAAATCATGGAACAAGCAATCTGTCTTAGACTGGGAAGATGTGACTGGTAACATTTTCTTGCTAATAGTAAGGAAATAGGGGGGTCACTTATGAAAATAGAACAGACTGTGGCTGCATTTCTTTTAAGTGGAACACATTGTTACTTCACTAATACATGGGATGTTACAGTACAAAAATCCCTTGTTGACCTTCTTAAATTAATCTCTCCAGCATTAGTTATTTCCTTATTTTCAGTGGGAAGACAGCAGAGTTTAAGTGTGTACAGCATGTTTAAGTGGTAAGATTGGTGCTCACAAAAAATTCATTGCAGTCTAAACTAGAATAAAATCTTCTAAATACAAAAGGAATGTATTTCTGCTTTGGGGTATTGCTGTGTGTGTTTGCCATATATGCATGTGTGTAACTGCTGAAAAAACTGCTGTGCAGTAAGATACTAGAGCTAGATTTAACCCTCTGGAGTTTTTGCTGCTGTTTGAAGCCAAGCTTTCATATCCTGGGAATTCTGTCTATTTTGTTATAGGAAAGCTGTTTACTTTCCTCAACTGTTTTCTAACCTGTTTGCCTGTATAGAAATCCACAGAAATGGTGTATAAATGCACATGCTCTGTGTACTTAGATAAAACATTGCCATTTTTTTCTCATAATCTCAAAAGTCTGACTGCTTGCATTTGCTCCCTGGTAATGTTGATACGTTCAGTGGTATTGTGATATGTTTCAAGAAAAAAAAAATCGAAACACTGAACAAGTGTTAAGATTTTTGCCTTTTGTGTTTGTTGTATTCAGACCCATCACCACTGGGTCCTATGCTCCAGTCAAACAAAATTTCAAATTCAAATGAGGATATTAGATCTGCATAACCATTACATGTGCACATGTGCAATCAGTGCATTTCTTTGTGGCATGACAAAAGTCCTTGGCTTTTAATTGTGTTGTGAATAATAATCTTATGATCTGTGAGTATAAGCAGAGCTTGAAAAAATTCATATCATAGTGGATAGTGAGTAGGAGTCTTTCAAAAGACGTGCCTTTGTTTCTTCAGAATGTAATCTTCAATAAATGTATAATATGCTCCTAGTCAAATTCGGTATTTGCCAGTTCATAGGTAAACTGTGAAGATACATTATTCACAGCAGGACAGTTTCTTGTTGAATGGCATTTTATTTTGAACCCACAGGTCTAGTGATTGCTTTAAAGACAAAAAAGGTAGTGAGTACACATGTATTACTCTTAAGTAGTTCTACAGACTGAAGATATGATGGTGAAATGCAGAATAACCTTGTATTAGGCAAACTTCTATTTGGCATGCCAGTGCACTGCAGGCTTCAGTGCACAGAAGCTATATTGTTACTGCTAGAACAAATACTTTGTTCTTTTTATTCAGTTTTGCACAATTCCCGACATAATGGAGTCCTAAACCTTCAGCTACTTTGGTAATATAAATATTAGTTCTTGCTCAATGTACAATAAATTTGTGACACCTATAAACAAAAGCTCTCCAATTTTTACTGTATTTTCCAAGACTTCAAATGAGCTAAATCTAAATGAAAGGGAAGAATTATTTTGAAAACCATTTTTGCATCAACATCAAAATACCAGCTTGTTTCTCTGTAAAAATATACTCGCACAAACAGTCTTTAAAACCCAATTTTAAAGTTTCCATGGAGACCTAAGCTGCAGAAGTTGGCTGTGTCATAAAACACAGTTTCTGAGAAAGTACCATTTCATGCACTTTGAGGTATTTGAGTTCAGCTCTACTGTTCTTAGGTTCTGCCTTTTATGCTGTCTGATCAAAAAGCTACATAGCTGAGGATCGCACAAATGTTTTCAAATAACCACAGTGAAAAAGTATAAGTGTTTGTAGGTTCAGCCTGGATACCTGGCACGTAAAAAAAAAAAATTAAGCATTCCTCATGTGTAGCTCTTAAGAAACGTGCTCTGAACTGAACTGAAGTGAGGCAGCAAAAGGCCTCACACTGTGCATGAGCTCTGAGAGGCCAGGCTGGGGGAGTGGGGCTTGTTCAGCCTGGAGAAGCAGCAGTTTTGAGGGTAGCTAAGTTACCTGTGTGTACCTACAAGATCAATAACATCAATGGTGCATGGTGGGGTAATGAGAGATAACATATGTAAATCGAAATAGGAGAAGGTCCATCTGGATATAAAGAAGAAATTGAGGACAGTTAGACACTAGAATGTTTTTTTCCAAGAGTGGCTGTGTGGTCTCTGTAACTGAAGGTTTTCAAGATCCAACTGGCTAAAGCTCTGAGCAAGCTAATCTGACCTTATAGCTGACCCTGCGCTGAGCAGGAGGTTGAACTCTGAGGCCTTCTGAGGTCCCTTTCAATGTGAATGACTGATTTCATAAATGATCGATGCAGATTTTCTACAAGGCAAATGTTGGTGTAATGAAGATTTAATTAGTCTCTGTTGACTTGGATCTTATCCAACATATTCCTAGTGATTTTCCAACTGCATTTTAAAAAGCTGTGGACGATACAGAACAGTGGTAAACCATGTTTAGCCTCTGGTATAAGCAGAAGAGGTGGATACAGCTGAGAAAAACCTAGTTACACTTTGAAGTTTTGCTTCTCATTTGAACATCACAGGGCATCCAGGCTCAAATGTCTGGCCACTGAAGGGGTGAAGAGAAACATATATAATGACACTTCTGGCTTCTTTGCTTTTCCCATTTTCCAAATCTTTGACTGCAGAAATATGACTATTACATTTCCTATGAGGCTGTATCTTGGAGAAAATTATCCAAAGCATGGAAAGTTTGCTTTATTTTTGTTTTGGGGTTGGCTTGTTTTTTGTTTTTGTTTGTTTGTTTTTTTCATGAACTTCCCATGCATGTATTGCCAAGTTTGCTCAGAGGTTATTCATAATGGACCTACTATCAAACAGGAATGTTTCAAAAAGTCATTTCTCTTTCAGTGGGGTATTATGCCCTCTTCTATCCTGAAATAAGAAATCTCTGTATCTCCCTTATAGCAATATTAGTACTTACCTCATTTAACACTCCACAGTAGATTGCAAAACAGAATTCTGAAAATGAAATTTGCCCTAATGGAGCTTCCAGAAATTTTACAAGACTGCTAATGTCAGTGCACTCTGGTGGTATATTTTGATAGGATTAAGTAGGAAAAATGTCCCTTAGGATTATCTTCCCATCTATGAAAAAGAATGTTGGTTGAATACAAGCATGGCAATGTTGACATTTTTTAGCAAGAATCGGTACCAACATACTGCACATCTAATTTCGGTCCTAGGATAAATGGATTATATTGCTTGTGTTTCTCTGTGTACTAGGATATACAATATCATTCTTCCAAATGACAAGCATTATTCTATTTTATATTAAGCTTTTAGTAATTTTGGTAGGTGATTAAGTAAATCACCACCCTTCACTAGTCTTTCCCTATTTTTATTGATAAGGCTGAAACTTTTAAAAAGGAAAAGTTTCATTCTTTTATATCTTGAGGAAGGTTGCATCTGGTATTAAGATCCAAATGAGATGTACTTTGCAGAAGTGTTGTTCAACAGATCTGTCATAATTTTTTTCTTACAGTGAAAGGTTTTTTTTAAGACTGAATAGAAATGGTTTGCCAAAATGTCCAGAAAAGCCTGAAAGGCACTGTTCTCTCTTTGTGGTAAGTTCTTCCTATTCTCAATCTTTGTAGTATTGAAAATAGAAGCTGAATTAAATTGCTATTCTCTGTGGGATTCAGAACTGCTCCCTGAGCTTGTACAGTGTAATGAACATCATCTGTAAACACTGGTTGAAATATATTGCTGACCTCTCAACTTGAATGTTTTCTGGCAATAGGTGGACACTCATCTAAACTTCAATGTGGGTGTACATACCAGTCCTTCCTGTAAGAAGGACCAGTTAGTTTTCTTCCATGTGCTTTTTTTACACTTTTTTCTTAGAATGTGCACCACTCTCACTTTCACGTTCTTACTTTCTTTACTGAATCTTACTTGGAATTGTACAAATGTATTGCTGCTGTTCAAGATATGCAGTAAGTTTTCTGTATCCTCCCACTGATTTTGCTGCATTACAGCATATTCTAGCCCATGACATTTTAAGACAGTTGGTTTGTATGCATGACCGCCAATTTAAAGTGTTAAAGGGATGATTTCTTAATGCTGTATAAATGAACTTGCTGTTCGTTTATCACTTTCACTGGCAGTAAAAGCAGTGTGTAAAGATCTCTTTAAATGTCACATTTTAATCATGATTCAGAAATAATGAGGTTCTGATCTTGCGCAGGATTTGGGTAGCAGTGAACTCAGGAAGGACATTTATATCACTGTGCACATTATCCGAATAGGTAGGTATAATTGTGAGTAGAAATCTTAATTTTTTTAGTCATGACAATAAATAAAGAAAAACTGTGTAGGATCATCTCTGGGATTTGTTAGATTAGTAAGGCCTTTAAATATTTTCTTGGGGGAAAAAAAACCACCTGTTTTTTGATAGAAAAAATGATTTTGATTACTCAGCATTTTTTTGTGTGTTATTTTTCAAGTGTAATGATAACTGAGGTTAGATGCAGGATATTTCGATACTGTCACATAACAAAATGAAAGTATCAAATATGAACTGTGTTAAGATGATGGAGTTGTCACTGGGGATCCCATTCTTGTTCCAAAAAGAGTAATTTCAAGCATCCTTTGTTCACAGAAAAACTTGCCTGGAAATTTAATGTACTTAATTAGTGATGCATATCTGAAATTGTTCAGATTAATTTTGTCTTCTACTTAACCCCTTTAAAAATCAGGAGAGAGAAAGTCTCAGTAATTTTAATCCCTGATGCTACAGACAGATATCCAGTCTTCTAGAACAAAGCAAAAGAGGAGTGTACATTTGTGTTAGGTGTTTATTTTAAGAAGTTATCCTCTGGGCTGTACTGATGTGAAACAGTAATCTTAGTGTCTGCTTCTGACCTCTTAGCTATACTGTTTTCTTTGAAACTGTCTCTAGTTGCATCAGTGCAGTACTAAGTATAACTTTTCTTCCTTTTTAAAAGATATTCTGGTTTGAAATATAGTTGCTTTAATTTGTGCTGAGTTCAGAAAAAACTTGTTATAAAGTAAACACTATTTTATGGCTTTGAGGAATAATTTTTCCTGGCATTTTCATGCTGTTTTAGTGTTTCGACAGAATATCAAAATACCATGTTTTGGTTTTATTGGCAAGGATTCGGAAAAGGTATAATAAACTCTGATGTAAGTATATTTGGTAAAGATAAATGCTCTAAAGAAGAATAAGGTCTGGAATTTTTCCTATTGTGTAGTTTTCATATATATTCTCAGTCAAGTTTATAAATGAACCGCTGAAATATTAAGAATTTAAAATAAGATTTGTATGCTGCATGGTGTGAAAATTAACAATTACTCTTCTAGATGCTATGATGCAGAGGAATATTTGGAGTAGGCATTGCCCTGCAGCGACTGCAACCACAGGCTTTTCTTGTCAGAAATTAAGACTTGTTGGGAAAGATACATAGCTGCCTGTGCACAATTGAATAAAATGCTTAGAAAGAGCAGTTTCAAATGCCAGGAACACAATGAGAAGATTGATCCATTATATTTAAATCAAATAGAAAAGGCTAGGAAAAATATTTTGTTTGAAATCTCTTTTCCTTGGCTGCCTTCTTTCTTTCCTTATCATAAATTGCTCTTCTGCCCTTTGTCATCTTTCCTCCCTGTGTTCCATCTCTACTTCATTTTTCTGCAGCTGGTCGATTATCCCCTTGCTAGCCAGTTGCCTCTTTGGAAGCAGCACTTGATTATTAAATTGTAATGGCTCCATCACAACACCTGTCATGTAAATCATGGTTACCAGCAAACACAGTAAAACAATTCTTATTGAACAGCAAATTTTGAACACTCAGTCATGTCTGAACTCTAAATTAGATTTGATGATGTCATGAGTGTGCTATTACTGGCTATCAGAAATGTGTTTGTTGAGTGGAGGTCATGCGAGTGTGAGCAGTACCTCTGATCTGAGACCTTTCAAGATCATCACATATTTAGTGGACTTCTCGTACCAGTTGCTATCCTAACATAGTATAAAGACAGACTGGCTTTGCAATGAGTACTCTTGACATCATCTACTCAGGCCTTTCACCATACTAAGCTGGATTGCTGTCAGTGTCGCTTTTGTGTTTTTAAGAGAGACAATTACATGCATTATGCATCAAATATATATTTTGTTTGGCAGGACGAATGGGAGCTGGAGAAAAGAAAAATGCCTGCAACGTACAATATAGGCGGCCCTTTGGCTGTGCAGTCCTCAGTATTGCAGATTTGCTGGCAGGAGATTCAAAGGATGACCTCATCTTAAAAGTATACATGTAATGAATGCTTTTTTCTTTATTTTTGTAAGTAACTTAAAGTCAGTTTGCATCAGAAGCAATGGTGTTAAATGTGGTGCAAATAAATAGCTGTAGCTCCTTCTCTGTTCCAAAAAGGTATAGTGGCTAATTTGTGGGGCTTTTTTGGTCACAGTTTGGACATTTTGGTTAGTTCTACAGATGTACCCTTTATCTTTAATATTATCCCACTTTATAAATACATCCTTTTAGATCCCTGTGTATGTTTCAGCATTTTTCACATCCCTGTAAGCGTTTCTGGAGCTCTCTTTTTATAGCAATAAGAAGTGCTTTTAGGACTTTTTAAAATTCCTTGTGCTGCCTAGGCAGCCAGTGGAGGTACTTTATAACTACACAAGAAAGTAGGCAGAGTATCTTTTTGTGAAATGAAGCAATTATATCATGGGAATAACAAAGGTGTAGAAAGCAGTGAGTGCTGGAGAGTGAAAAATCAAAAACAGATTTTAAAATGAATAGCTGATAGTAATTGGAAAAAAGTTCTATTTGTCTGGTTGTAGCAACACAGTGCCTGTAATTTCCTGCTGATCTTCGACATCATAGAAGGAACCATTTTGTAGAGGGATCTATTCTAAGCATGTAGAACTGGGGCACATATTGTCATGCACATGAGGAAGTTCTGCCCCTCCCAGTGTTAACACTCAAACCTTGAAGGCACAATTCTTTCAGGTAGCCTTTCTTCTCTCCTCTGTATACCTCTGTGCTGAATTAGAGCTGCTGGAATCAAGAGCTGCAGAAAAGTAATTTAGTGTGACAATGTACATGTGGGCAGGCTCTTTTGTAGACTCCCAGGACATTAAAGTAAAATAAGTGCTTGTTATTGGTTAACAAATAGTTAGATTTTTCTGCCTATGATATTATTCATTTCTTTTCTAGTTTTTTTTTTTTTTGCAATCTTGGCTGTTTGTTTTAAACTGACAAAAACAATGGAAGAAGAAATGCTTGATGCTAAGACCAACTCTAGTCTAACCTATGAAAAATGATCATTAGAACATGGTCAGTTTTTCCTTATGGAAAAGCAGTTATTTTCTACATGTATACTGAAATGCCGTTTGCTCTTTCAGTGATTACCTCCTGAAGATCACATCCTGTTTTAAGTAACTTTGAAGCATACAACACAGATTTTTCTGTCTGCTAAGACCAGCTCTGAGTCCTGTGTCTCCTCCTGAGTGTCACAGGATAGATTTCTGTGTGGTTTAGAGATGAAGGTTAGATCTATACAGATGATGAAGTTGGTCATGGCTGACTTCCTGAGCATAATTGCTCATATCTTTCTCTCACCCTTTGCGATATGAAGCAGATATTTCTAGGGTGCCTTTGTCAAGCACAAATGGTAAGAGCACTCTCTTTCTATTGAGACAGGCAGTTTCATGGGGCTTTATTAGCTCCTATTGTGTTACTAGTTTTATGAACAAAAGAGGCTTTGTTTAGAGATAGGTTGTGAAGCTGGTTTGAAAAACTTGTGTTCCTATTTCAGAGTTAAGAAAGTTATCATTTTTCTAGGTGCAACACAGAGAGTGACTGGTATCAGATCCATGAAAATATCATTAAAAAGCTGAACGCACGTTACAACTTGACAGGCTCCAATGCAGGTGAGTAAGTTGACGTATTTCTGTTGGCACCCATACGATTTTCTTAGTTTGCAATGGAAGTGGCTCTATTTTAGAAGGACTTGTCTATGAATTAAATATTTTCTCACATAGAGAAAAATACCCAGAGGAAAATATATGATGCTGCCATTTGGGTGTATGTTTAAGAAGGAAATAAGTGACTTTTTTTCAAGTAACTATGTCATATAAACTTTTATTCTGTGCTGAGGAGCTACTGTTTGCTGTGGAGATCTGTTCACATGCAGGACTGATCGATTTGTTGATCCATGTAGCTTGACATTTCCGCTTCACATTTTCATCAAGAATATAAAATTTGCCATTGATGTTGTACGTTAAACTTCAGAAGAAAATGAACTGGGAGCTACCTGTGCAATCTCTGCATTCCTACTGGTAGCTCTGCATTCCAGCTGATCAAGATGCAGAGTTGATATTTAAGAATTTAACCAATAGTCCTCCAAAGTCAGCCATATGTTACTGTAACTGCCATCAAAATAAATTCAAGTGTGAGACTTAATAAATGGGAGACAACTGACCTTTGTTATCGTAAGCTGAAGTTTGACCCATAGAAGATGCTGAATTTGCTTTTTTTTTTCTTTCCTTTTTTTTTGTGGTACCCATTTGCTAACTTCTGAATGCTCTCATCCAGGAATGCAGTTAAACTTGAAATGAAACCTGAAATGGAAGCTTATGAGTCTTTCTGTCTTGTATTAAAATATGGTTTTGTCCCGGTGAAATGTTAGCTAGTTGAAATATCGCTATGGAAAAATCTCATATGAACTCATTTTCCAGATTGTACTGCAATTGTAATCCCTTCCATGTAATAGACTTCATGCTTCTTTAATTTGTTTTCAAGCGTAATGATTATCTTGAAAATGTATGTTCAACAGTCTTTAGTGGATAACCAGGAAACACATAAATGCTCAGGCTATTTATCAAGACTGAAGTTATTTATTGAACCCTTTCTAATCCTGTCATTTTCTTATATAGAATCTAACCACATTTATACATATATTTAAGGTTTAGAGTATCATGCATCTTACTGGACAATAAATATAAAATCATGTAGTGAAAATACAAAAGCACATTACTAAGTATCATGTTCTGCTTCATAAATCTGTCAACCTTATTTATGAAGAGCAACTTATTCTTGGTTATTCTGACTGTCCATGCAATACCTGCTTACTCTGTGATACATCCATCACTTATCCTATTTCATTCTCATGAAATGAGAGTTCACCATTAAATTCCCAGTGGTCCTAGGAGACATTGGATAAATTTGAATACTCTTTAATTATGTGAATATTCGACATGAAAGACGTGGGACATGAGTTTTTTTTTCCAGGTTACAGGGAACTGGTAACTAAAGCTAGCAAACTGAACATCAGTTACCTTTTAGAGCTGTCTAGGGGAGGGAGGCAAAGAGACAAGAGCAGCACAGAATTCCAATAGTGCATGTGAAGGTTGGAGAGGGAAGGAGGAAGTGAGCAGTAAAGTCAGTTGGAGAACTGAGCATCTAAAAGATGAGCTATGAAAGGTTATTTACATTGCACACGTGACATGTGTTCTTCTGTGACTACTTGCAGCCTGAAAAAAATGTTTAAGTGTTTACGAGGCTTTAGCAATGCGTTCAGATACTTCTGCTGACACCTCATGGAAAATATTGTTGTTACACTACTTTTTATTTTCCCTTTGCTGTCTTTTCCTGTAATAGTATTGGAATGCTCATTCTGAAGCCTCATTAGCCTTGTCTGCCCCCTTATAGTTGTTAAAAAATGAGAAAATCTTGCCTTATAGGAGACATGGGTATTTTCTCTCTCTTGGGAAACATTGCTGGTGTGAGCCAAATGTAGGAAAACTTGAATTTTCAGTTTATATTGCACTTGCCCTTTTCAAATCACCTTAAAAAGACACGATAAAGAAAACACAGTAAACACACAATAGCAAAGATGCTTCAAACTATTGTCTGTCCTCTAGGCTCATTTCCTCTTCACATTCTGTCCTGTACAGTTTCTTTCAGCTCAGGAGATTTTCACACAGTCTTTAGTTTCCAAAAATTCCTATCTTCCACTGCTGAAATAGTTTATCAGATAATTCAAAATATTCCTCAGAAAAAAACAATTCTCTCAGTTTTCTGGGGAAATCTAAGAAGGAGCTCCGAATGTACTTTCAGCATGTGAAATACATATTGACAGACAATAGCATTTGTATGAAGCTTTCAAACTTCCAGTTCCACAAAAAGTACTTTATCTACTTCAACTCATGACAGCTCTTAAGTACAGAATCATCTTGAATCTTATTCTCAGCTTGTGTCTAAAAAATATCAAATCAAGGTGAATTGATAACGCAGCCCTCAAAGGATCAGGGGACAGTTGTTCATCCCCTTTCCTGTTAGTGGAATGAGGAATGAGAGGACTCAGTCTCATGGATAATTTAGCACCCTTTGCTGGACTGGAAACTGGAATGTGTTTTCTGAATGAATTTCCAGCCTAGAGGCTGGAGTAGCAGGTAGTGGATCAAATTACCATGTACTACTAGTCTTTGCAGCTTGTGTCAGGTATTAGCTTATTGGAAACACCACATGTTCTAGTGTAGGAGATCAAAATGTAAATGCAAAAGCCAAATTGTATAGCCTTTCCTGCATTTAGTAGCCCTGTTATTTCTTACATCGAGTTTGTCGTATTTGTAGAATAAATAGGACTAATATCTGCAGTGGAGCTGGCTATAAAAACTATTTTTCCTATAATATTTTTTCTTAGAATTAGAAGCCATTTACTTCATTTTAAAATGAAAAAAGATCTGTGGAAAAAATATTATTCCTGCATAGAGATCACATCTAATTACATCAGTCTTACATGGAAAATAACACATTTCTATTTCTGTATCTGTAGGAACAGAGAACAGTGAAATGCATACTACAGATAGAGAAAACAGTTACTGGCTTCTCTCAAACCATGTAAAATCATCCTTTATCCCATTATGGTATATTTTAGAGTGAAGCCTAGCCAAAGTTATTGCTTTTACATCAAAACTTGGGCTGCTGTCAAATGTCAAAATCTCTTTGTAGGGTTTGCAATGTGGGTCATAGTTGCAGATCTTATTCTTTGTATGTGACTGTGAAACTACTCTGGACCTTTCTTGGGACTACAGTAAACTGCTTTGTAAACTGTGATTGATCATAAAATAGCTGCTTCATTTGCCCACAGAATTACTGTGTCATGAACCGGTTGATATTTAAAATGGTTTGAAGTGCATTTTAGTGAGAGGAGCAAGAGAACAAAGCCAAATGTGGTCATCATTAAACATGGTTCTATAAAAAAATAAATAAAGAAAATTGTGAATGCTACTCCATTTGTACATACTTATGCAGCATCATGGATTACTTCTGATTTTTAGTAAGATTTTATCATGTGCAACTTTATATTCTATTCTTGCTTATAGCACTACTTCTTTTCTTCCCCCCCGCCATTCTTTAGACTTTCAAAAGTTGAAATGTATTTTTTTTATTTAGTACATGATAATGAAAGGACTATCAACTAATTGGTGCTGTGCTTTAAGTGTTCTGATTGTAGCAGTCCTTTGGGCTCTGAAGGTAGAGGGTTCTTGTCCATAAAAATTACTTACTTATGACTGTGAACAAGTTACATCGTTAAACAGTGATGGTTCTTACTGTAATCCCTACTTAAACACTAACAGCATCTTCCAAGTAATTGAGACATGCCAGATGGGAAGCAAAATATGCATTCCCTGCTGGGAACAGCTATAGTTGTTAGCCACAAAAAGGAGATGCAGGCTCACAGTGGAGAACTGACTGGAGTGGTAGTAGCAGAAAATGAGGAGGAATCGGAGCAGGATTGGTAATGTGTTCTCAATAGAGAAGATAGAGCAGAATGAAGTACCTAAATATTAGGTTACTCCTGAGCGTATGATTAATCACAGAGAAATTTTCTGATGGTTGTCTTTTCTCAGCAGGGATCACAGATGTCACTGCTGCTCTGAAATGTGTTTTGCGTATACATGACTAACATTTAAACAGCAAGTGCATTTGTTTAATTACTCAAGTTCTATGACAATTTATTAATCTGTCAGTTTGAATCTTTGTCACATTTTGTGACGAGATTTTGTGACAATGTGTATTCCATTTTGATGTGTTTAAGAATTAGTTGTCACTGAAGGCTGCAATTTGAAATACATTTAAAATAAGAATAGTGCTCGTATGTGCTTCACTAAGTTAACAATAAACTAAGGCATTTCTTTTTGTTCTCAACAAATGCTAAAGCTGAAAGATTAAGTATGTAAAGATTTCGCACATAAATTGTTCAAGATCATTTGGCCCCAAATGACAACTTTGACATATAAAAAAGCCGGTTTTAGAGCAGATTTTTAGACAATGATTTGTAGAACTTGTAGTAAAAAGTACTTACTTAAGTACTTTTTACAGGCTGGGAGATATTGTTTCCCAATCTTATATATAGCCATTTTCTCAAATTCAGGAGTAACCAAATATCTAAAATTTGTAGCTTAATCTAGCAGGTAATATTAATTATGGTAGTTTTGTGAAAAGATACTAATCCTTAAAGGTGGCAGACTTTTATAGACCAATCAGATGTAATTTTTTGCATTTTTACAGTGGTACAAGCTTGTATTGTTGTTGTGAAAGTTCTGACTGTATCATAAGTTCAAGGTAGATTTTTGATGTACTGATCTGTCCTTCATATAGCGTGACTTATAGACTGTGCTGGAGATGACAGCTTTAATAAAATTAAATTCATACCGTCATATTGGCTATTGCTAAAAGACTTGGTTTTAGCAAGGAATTACAAATGTGCAGTTATGATACTGTTGGGGACATTTTATATCCAGTAGAAACTATGACTTGCTGTTCATCCCAGTATTGTGATTATAGAATTATGGAATCATTTAGGTTGGAAAAGACTTTTAAGATCATTGAATTCAACCATTAACCTAGCACTACCAAGTCCACC